TAATGTAAGGGTGAAGGGTGTAAAATAGAGTAAAAAAAAAAAAAAATATTAAATAGTTGTGGAAGTCATATGTTCACTTGCTTAGTGCTCATCTTTAAAGTTGGAAACAAACTAATTGGTTTTTAGATTGGTGGCACTAATGTAGTAATGTAAGGGTGAAGGGTGTAAAATAGAGTAAATTATAACTTGAAATTTAGCTAGTTTGAGAAAAAGTTTATATAGGATGCTTTTTACATAGAAAGTGCTGTGATTCGTTTTTACCAAGATATTAATATTTTTTAAAATCTTGTTTTTGTGACTATAAAGGCTAACAGAATTCTTTGTATGTTAGGATAATGGCGAATGTTTTCAGTTACATACTTTTCTCTCCTGAATCTGACTCCATTTTTAAACATCTGCTTTCTGTGGAACTAATATATTTGTGTTGGTAAACATAAAATATTGTTTATTTGCCCTAAATACCTTGATTTCTTGTACACCAGAAATTTGTCAGACTAACATAAGTTTGAACTGAAAGATAATTTGTGACATTTAGAGCATCAAATTAGTATAGTTTTGATACTAAATCTTTTCTTTTACTAAAATTATGGCACAAACATTTTAATCTTAGATATAAAAGAAATTATCTCATAGTTATTTTTCTATGTGCTTTTTCAAGTTTTAATCATGCATATATAATTATGTTTTATTTATATTGTATTTATTTTATGATTATATTTTATTCTTTCATATCTTCCTCATTGGACGGGACAGTGTTTGGTTATGTATATATATATCAATCACTAAATGATATAGTTTTGTCGAATGTATTGTAGTGAACTGTGACAAGATGTTTAAGACAATTTATTTTACTTTGACACCATATTTTGTGGTCAGCGTTATTCTTTCAATTATGAACAAACAGCTCTATCATCATAATCTTCTCTTATATGTTGATTTTTAGTACCTCATTTAGCCCTCCTAATCAAGTCCTGCCAGAGATTTCCTCTGTCAGATGGCAAGGCAGTTTTCTTCACACTTAACTCACTATGATATTGTTTATATCAGTAGTTTCCAAAGTTCACTAATGCTTGCCCATATTCTAATATGTTTTGGGGTAGTGATTATCCAAGGGAAACACTTTTTTTTTTTTCTTTTTTTTGGAGACAAGGTCTCGCTTTGTTGCCCTGGCTAGAGTTCAGTGGTGTGATCATAGCTCACTGCAACCTGAAACTCCTGGGCTCTAGTGATCCTCCTGCCTCAGCCTGCTGAGTAGCTGGGACTACAGGTGTGCACCACCACACCTGGCTAATTTTTCTATTTTTTGTGGATACAGGTTTTCACTCTTGCTCAGGCTGGTCTCGACCTCCTGACCTCAAGCGATCCTCCTTCCTCGGCTTCCCAAAGTGCTAGGATTACAATCATGAGGCACCCAACCCAGCTTGGGGAAACCTTTTTTAAAAAAAAAAACAACAGAAAATGTGAAAGTTAATCTGCTTATTTAATATGCTCATTAAGAAAAATACATAAAAGCTTTGATGATGGTTATATGAACACCCAATGTAAATACAGTTTAGTTAAAAGGAACACTTTTAAGTTAGGTGTTTCCTTTTTGTTTCTGGGCAAAATTGCAGAAATGTAATTAATTCAGCAAATAGGTTTTTTGAAAAAAGATATCTAAAGCATAAAAACATTATTAAGAAGTGTTTTAAGTTCTGAAGCTATGGTGGTTGACTGTAGGAGTTAACTCTTGAAAGGTGGATGATGCTTATGTGGTTCATTCTTACTTTTGTCCATTTCCAGCTTACAAAACACTACACAGCAAAATAATGATCTGCTAGACTGCTAACCCGAGCATCCAGCTTCCACAATGCCTGTGCAGGCAGCTCAATGGACAGAATTTCTGTCCTGTCCAATCTGCTATAATGAATTTGATGAGAATGTGCACAAACCCATCAGTTTAGGTTGTTCACACACTGTTTGCAAGACCTGCTTGAATAAACTTCACCGAAAAGCTTGTCCTTTTGACCAGACTGCCATCAACACAGACATTGATGTGCTTCCTGTCAACTTTGCACTTCTCCAGTTAGTTGGAGCCCAGGTAAGCTTTCAAGATTTTACTAATTTGGCATATATTGTAACTATTGAACTTAGTTCATTAAGGGGTACAAAGGGCCGGGCGTGGCGGCTCATACCTGTAATCCTAGCACTCTGGGAGGCTGAGGCAGGTGGATCGCTCAAGGTCAGGAGTTCGAGACCAGCCTGAGCAAGAGCGAGACCCCGTCTCTACTAAAAATAGAAAGAAATTATCTGGA